GAGCTAGCAGATCATTTTAATTCAAAAATAAAAATGTTATAGATGCCATTGCTCCAACTAAGGTAAAGGAAGTGACTGGCAGGAAAAGATCTCCATGGAGAAAGGCCATGACCGTGAGAACAGAGAAAAGAGAATGTCGAAAAGCTGAACGTAAAAGTCCTGCATTCAAAATGTTCCTCAAGTGAAAGTAGAAAAGTATTCTCATCAAAATATAGTTAAAGACAGTAAAAGTATTCATTGTGCAGATTGGTCCATCTCAGAATAATATATATGATGTGTTTTATCGCGGATACAAGCGGCCGAGATGGGTTTTCTCCGCAGGGTGGCTGATGTCTCCCTTAGGGATAAGGTGAGAAGTTCGGTCATCAGGGAGGGACTCGGAGTTGAGCCGCTCCTCCTTCGCGTCGAAAGGAGCCAGTTGAGGTGGTTCGGGCACCTAGTTAGGATGCCACCTGGGCGCCTCCCTAGGGAGGTGTTCCAGGCACGTCCAGCTGGGAAGAGACCAAGGGGTAGACCTAGGACCAGGTGGAGGGATTATATCTCTTCGCTGGCCTGGGAGCGCCTCGGGATCCCCCAGTCAGAGCTGGTTGATGTCGCCAGGGAAAAGAAAGTTTGGGGCTCTCTGCTGGAACTGCTACCCCCGCGACCCGACCACGGATAAGCGGGAGAAGATGGATGGATGGATGGATGTGTTTTATAATGATTGATCATGAAAGTGTTCTCAAAGCTGGTGAAGGTGCAGCTAGTCTGAATGACTTTGTATACTGCAGGGTAGCTGGTGGATTTACTCCAGGTGGAACTAAAGTCTGATTCAACACTTGATTAGATTTCACATCATTCATCCACATCTGTGAAGTAACTAAAGGTATTAAATACATGTAGTGGAGGAAAAGTACACCATGTACCTCTGACTTATGTTCACTGCCAACCTAAAAGTACCTAAAAGAATAGTAATCAATAATGTATTGAAAAGTTATTTGGCTGATTGTTTTTATATCGGCTCAGCCAGGTTATATGGGAGGCCCAGTCTACGTACACTCTAAAAACAAATGCCTGGCTTAACAAAGAGAATCAAGGCAATAGGTTGCATCGATGGTTATTGAGTTAAGACAACTTCTAATGAAATGTTGTTAAAGCAACAAAGTTATTTGAGTTAGGGGAGAAGGCGTCTCCTCTACAATCAGGTGTTTTCAATTACCACTTACTTAATCATTGGTAGCATAAACACAAGTTTTAAGTTGATTACTCCAAACGTTCAAACTTGTTTTACCGTAGGATTTAAATGTAATCTTAAGTTGTATGTACTTAATTACCACATGTTGAACATGAACACATGTTTTTAAGTTGACAGCCATTTGTAAATTAAGTTGCTCCAAATAATATTTTATTCAATAGTTTTTCTCTTAGCTTTTTCATGTTTTGCCTTTAAAGAAATACATTAATTGATTCCACAACAAAAATATTAGGCAATTCACTTTTTATTTTTGAACTGCAGTTGTTTATTTCAACGCATGATGTTTCAATCAGGAGAGTTTGAATTTCAAGTTGTATTTGAATGACAAAAGATGACACTCACCTTAAAATGTCCTTTGTATATTTCTATTTGTCTTAACTGTGGGAACTTGTCCAGGCATCTTAAGTGGGAGTTGACTTGAAATCCTTAACTCAAGGTGTAGAACAATAAGTTATCAAGCCAATTGCATTACTTACTTCAACTTGAATTTAGTTTGAAGTCAATTAACACAGAAATCAGAGTTCAAATGACACACAATATTAAGTTGATGTAATTACCAACATTATTACGTCAACACAACTTATAAATTAATGTTGTTAAAATGTTTATCTAAATCAATTAACTCGCATGTTTATCTTGCAACCAGTGCATTTAATTAAGTGGAGGTGAAAGGCCGCCTGAATTCGGTTTTTAGACGTACAGATCACTCATTTTGAAATACTAAACACGAAACACTGTTGAGATCTTCATATGAAGTGAATACTTAAAACGAAAGTTAATTGAGATCATGGTATGAAGTGAATACTTAAAAAACGAAAGTTAATTAATAAATCATACATGATCAATCATATTCTTGTATAAACCCATAATGAGAATGCTTCTTGGCGGTTTTTGAATATGTATGTGCTTACAATTTTTTCTGTTGCTATTTTGATAACTTTGCGTTTTGAAAAGAGGGTGTTGTGAGTTTTCATAGTATGTTTAATACTTAAAAACGAAAGTTAGTTATAATCAAATATAATCAATTATATTCTTGTATAACCCACAATGAAAATGCTTCATATTTTAGGTTTTTCTATAGTTACAGTATAAACAAAACAAAGTGGTTTGTTTAGGTTGAGTTTTCTTCCTCTCCTGTGACAGCAGTCCACAGGGAGGGGGGGCTCCAGGCTTAAGGAGACACATTAAGAGGCCAAAAAGAGTTCATGTCCTTTTCACCCTAACATGGGAAGGTGTGTCTCATGTCATAAAGCTATGGAACATGTTGAGGCATGTTTCAGACTTGTACATTATGGGCATGCGCAGTTTTCAACTGAATTGGGTGTAGAGGAGGAGTTTGTTTTTTTGGGTTTTCGATCCAGTTTTTTTAGCATAAAGAGACTGGTTTTTTGAGAGAGCGCGAGAGAGAGGGGGGGAAACCCCTGGTAGACTCTCTCCCGGTAGGCTGTGTGCTTCAGAGCTGGGTAACTAGCTCTCGGTAAAGGTTCCGTCAGACGGGTTAAATATATCTCGAATTTCTTGGTTGTTGGCTGAGTGGAATGATTTGATGAGAGATGTGTTTGTGAATATTATAAATACCGCCATCTGTGAGGAAAATCTCCCCTCCGAATTTGCGGATAGGTATGGGTTTTTAAATGATATACCCGCCGTCTGTGTCGGAAAAAAGGTATGAAAACTGATGTAAATGAAGTTGGTGAAATGAAAAAGTTGAATGCGCTTTTTATGGTCACCGGTCTTTTTACGAGGAAATACCTCTAAATTCTATCGGGAGAATTTTAAAATGTCACAACTGAAATGGGCAGTTGAAATTAAAACATTTTGGTAATAAATGTAAGACTGTGAATTAAAGTTTCATTTGAACATGATCACAGCACGGTTTTTTTTTTAGTATGATTATAATGTTGTAAAGAGAGAAGGTAAAAACCCTGTATTAGTTTGGACCTATTTTTCTTCAAATAAACTGAATCCCACCAGTTGGATTGGGATAATTTAAAAGACACCTGTGCCCTCCTCTCCTGCGTCAAAGGTAAGATTGCACCCTGCCACACACACTTAGGTAGGAGCACACTCCATTTACTGATATCAAAATCCTTCGGGATCGCTTAAACAGATTAAAAAAGAGTTGTCTGAATTGAAACAGCAGTTAATTGAACCTGGTTCTTCGGGGGGGTTAGGAAGAGGTGAGATCTTGCTGACGTTGGTGGATCTGAGCCAAGCAGCAAACTTACATAGACTCAATAACTTCGGAAAGGTCAATTAGGAGGTCAGAGTAATTTACCGGAATAAATTATCAGGACCTCTCCGACTCTAAACACACACATTTGGTTGTTTATAGCATAAAGAACATCTGAGTTAATGTGAGGTAGGGAAATAATCATTTGAGTATGTGCATATAAATATGTAATTTACAACAGCTGTAAGATACTTGAAAAGCTTGAAAATGCACCTTGAAAATGCTTGAAAAGTGCTTGAATTTGACTTTGGAAAAGGTGTAAGAACCCTCTTATGCCTTTGCCTGAAGACGGTGACGAACTTCTCATGGTGTGCACACCTAGACCGGACTTATAAGACGTTCCTCTGACCAACGCTGACCTCATTTTGTATGTTGATGGGTCTGCCTCTCGCGACCAAGGGGGCACTAATCGGGTGGGTTTTCCTGTTGTTTCAGATTCTGCTGTACTCCGTTCCGGACCAATCCCATGTCTCAGCACAAGCAGCAGAGCTCATCGCACTAACTGAAGCCTGCACGTTTGCAGAAGGCAAAACCGTGACTATTTACACTGACGCTATGCTATGCTTTTGGGGTAGTACACGATTTTGGGGCTATTTGGAAGTGTAGACAATTTCTGAAATCTGATGGCAAACCAGTACTTAACCATGTACTGGTTGCAGGCTTACTAGACGCCACTCTGCTCCCATCTGAAGTTGCAGTCTGTAAATGTGCCGCACACGCAAGCAGTACAGACCCAGTTTCCCTAAGAAATTGGGTCCGCTAATTTACCTGCTGACTCAGCCGCAAAGGCAGCTGCTCTGATTCCTCTCGCACAAATGAAACCACATAATTATTTATTAGTCTGTTTTTCACAGATATTACTTTTTGACTTTCGTCTCGACAGGGAGTTCAGCTGTGCTCTTAGCTTCTTTTAGCTTCTTTTGATGACTTTACTGAACTGCTGTCTATAGTGTGTTTTGACTTTGACCGTCTAGTCATTGTTGGTGATTTTAACATCCATGTTGACAACCCCCAGGACAGAGTGGCTAAATAACTGTTTTGTGTTCTTGATAACTATGGTGGGGACCCTCTCATGACATCCAACTATAGGCCCATCAGTATCTTACCCATAGTATCCAAGGTATTTGAGAAATTGATTGCCAAACAAATCATCAATCATCTCAACAACAGCTCCTTGTGTTCAAATTGAGAACCATAAGTCTAGTGTTTGTCAACTGGAGTACCGCAGGGCTCTGTATTGGGCCCAATCCTGTTTAGTATGTACGTAAATGATCCGCCTTCTGTGTGTGGAGAATGTGATGTATGCTGATGATACAGTTTTGAGCTCACAGCTCCTCATATCTGTTCAGAAACTAGACAGAAGTTAAACAAGTACAAACCACAGACTGTCTGTGTCATGGCGAATACAGTCGCTGCTTTATTTATGTCTGTATAGGGCGTTCCGAGCTGAATAAGGGCGTCAAATGAAGGCAAGACGCCCGCCTGGCGGAAACGCTGGAATTAGGAATATATTGTGATGAAGTGCACACTGACCTGAGCTCCAGGGGTCTCTTTCTTCTCCTCCATGCTGCTCATCAGCTGTCCTGATGAAGACCACAGAGCTGCTTCATTATTAATATAATACAAGTATTTAGATATAATTCATCATAAACTGTCAGCAGTGAAGAGGAGGAATTCAAAGAGTTTATTCAATGATATGTTCTATTTCTAGATGCTTATATGTAGTGTTTTATCACACCATGTGCAGTGCCTTGTCTTATCTATGCTGCTGTGACGTAAACATGGTCCAAATTGATCCATTTAGTCAATGTGATGCTAAGCAGAGGAGAACATGATAGAAAGGTCAGATAGTTATTAACGTTACATGCACATTACTTTAACCATTACGATAACAAGTTGGTTTTCTGTGTAAATTATTATTAATATAATACAAATATTTAGATATAATTCATCATAATCTGTGTAGCAACTTACATTGTAACTTACAGCTCACAGTTTGTTCACTTTTATTTCATTAAAATGACTTTATTCACATAGAAAGTGACATTAATGGTTGTTTGAACCACTGTTATAGCGCTATCCGTGTGTAACTATCACTAAGTTAACACAGAAAGCAAACATTAGCTAGTGAGACTGTTTAATGTACTCCATGTATACAGTATTTTCTGTATATTGTGTATTCTTTAGATACTCTAGTGATATGTGTCCTGTGTGTATACTTGCTGCTAATGCTTCATTTTTATTATATCTTATTGCATCTTTTAAATATGTTTAACTCGTGTAATGCCTGAAAACACTTCTGCTGTGACACAATCATTTCCCACTTTAAGATAAATCATTATGTAAATAAAGTATATCTATTTATCTAATGAGCTAAACCGTCGCTTAGCTTAGCGTTAGCTGCTAACTGAAGAACCCCATTCATTTCAATGGGGAAAATGCTACGTCACGTGAATGGTGATAATAATAAGCTAGTTAGCATATATTTAAAACCATATCTATGGTAAAGAGCACCAACACAACAACTCAAACCGTCTTAAAGACAACTGGTGTAATAAATAACTAGCATAAAGTCAGCTGAGCATTACAAATCAACTGTTACTCCCCCAGAGCCGAACTGGAATAATAACTGTAGCTGTTAGCCGATAGCCGTTAGCTGTTAGACTGTAGCTGTTAGCCGTTAGCTTTCAGAATTTAGCTTTCAGACTGTAGCTTTCAGACTGTAGCTGTTAGCCTTTATTTAAAGATAGTTTGAGACTATTTTTGTCGCACATTTTAAAGTTTTTTTGTGAGTTTCTTTCTACCAAGATTACAGCTGTTGTGTTAAATAAGATAACTTCTGATTCGTGATTAACTGTAAACTAAGAGGTTTAATCCACTCACCTCTTCTTCTGTCCTTTGTCCTTTGTCCTTCTTCTTGTCCTTCTTCTTCTTCTTCTTCCTCTTCTTCTCCCTCTTCTTCTTCTTATTCTCTTGTTTTCTTCTTCTTCTTCTTCCGTGTTTATTGGCGGTTGGCAAACCAACTTGTAGGCGCATTACCGCCACCAACTGGACTGGAGTGTGGACAAGAGACTATGCAGAAAACAAGAAACAAAACAAACAAAACAAAGAACCAAAACTCTAGATTATTTTTAATGTATCAATTTCTCTTAGAAACTTAATAATCTCACAATATATATTGCCTGATGTTTTCCCTAACAGCCCTGATAGCGACAAGTCATGGAATGTTGCTTTCTTCAGTGTCTGGAAAAGCACATTTCTCTGAGTACTATATTTCCTGCAAAGCAGTAAAACATGCTCAACAGTTTCTGGCTGGCTGCAGTGTGTACACTTTCCGGTTGGATGCTTTCCTATTATACTTAAAGTATGATTGAGACCTGTATTATACTTAAAGTATGATTGAGACATGTATTATACTTAAAGTATGATTGAGACCTGTATTATACTTAAAGTATGATTGAGACCTGTATTATACTTAAAGTATGATTGAGACCTGTATTATACTTAAAGTATGATTGAGACCTGTATTATACTTAAAGTATGATTGAGACCTGTATTATACTTAATGTATGATTGAGACCTGTATTATACTTAAAGTATGATTGAGACCTGTATTATACTTAAAGTATGATTGAGACCTGTATTATACTTAATGTATGATTGAGACCTGTATTATACTTAAAGTATGATTGAGACCTGTATTATACTTAAAGTATGATTGAGACCTGTATAATACTTAAAGTATGATTGAGACCTGTATTATACTTAAAGTATGATTGAGACCTGTATTATACTTAAAGTATGATTGAGACCTGTATTATACTTAATGTATGATTGAGACCTGTATTATACTTAAAGTATGATTGAGACCTGTATTATACTTAATGTATGATTGAGACCTGTATTATACTTAATGTATGATTGAGACCTGTATTATACTTAATGTATGATTGAGACCTGTATTATACTTAAAGTATGATTGAGACCTGTATTATACTTAATGTATGATTGAGACCTGTATTATACTTAAGTATGATTGAGACCTGTATTATACTTAAAGTATGATTGAGACCTGTATTATACTTAATGTATGATTGAGACCTGTATTATACTTAAAGTATGATTGAGACCTGTATTATACTTAAGTATGATTGAGACCTGTATTATACTTAAAGTATGATTGAGACCTGTATTATACTTAAAGTATGATTGAGACCTGTATTATACTTAAAGTATGATTGAGACCTGTATTATACTTAAAGTATGATTGAGACCTGTATTATACTTAAAGTATTATTGAGACCTGTATTATACTTAAAGTATGATTGAGACCTGTATTATACTTAATGTATGATTGAGACCTGTATTATACTTAAAGTATGATTGAGACCTGTATTATACTTAATGTATGATTGAGACCTGTATTATACTTAATGTATGATTGAGACCTGTATTATACTTAAAGTATGATTGAGACCTGTATTATACTTAATGTATGATTGAGACCTGTATTATACTTAAAGTATGATTGAGACCTGTATTATACTTAATGTATGATTGAGACCTGTATTATACTTAATGTATGATTGACACCTGTATTATACTTAATGTATGAATGAGACCTGTATTATACTTAATGTATGATTGAGACCTGTATTATACTTAATGTATGATTGAGACCTGTATTATAATTAAAGTATGATTGAGACCTGTATTATACTTAATGTATGATTGAGACCTGTATTATACTTAAAGTATGATTGAGACCTGTATTATACTTAATGTATGATTGAGACCTGTATTATACTTAATGTATGATTGAGACCTGTATTATACTTAAAGTATGATTGAGACCTGTATTATACTTAAAGTATGATTGAGACCTGTATTATACTTAATGTATGATTGAGACCTGTATTATACTTAAAGTATAATTGAGACCTGTATTATACTTAATGTATGATTGAGACCTGTATTATACTTAAAGTATGATTGAGACCTGTATTATACTTAATGTATGATTGAGACCTGTATTATACTTAAATATGATTGAGACCTGTATTATACTTAAAGTATGATTGAGACCTGTATTATACTTAATGTATGATTGAGACCTGTATTATACTTAAAGTATGATTGAGACCTGTATTATACCTTAAAGTATGATTGAGACCTGTATTATACTTAATGTATGATTGAGACCTGTATTATACTTAAAGATAATGAGACCTGTATTATACTTAATGTATGATTGAGACCTGTATTATACTTAAAGTATGATTGAGACCTGTATTATACTTAAAGTATGATTGAGACCTGTATTATACTTAAAGTATGATTGAGACCTGTATTATACTTAAAGTATGATTGAGACCTGTATTATACTTAAAGTATGATTGAGACCTGTATTATACTTAATGTATGATTGAGACCTGTATTATACTTAAAGTATGATTGAGACCTGTATTATACTTAAAGTATGATTGAGACCTGTATTATACTTAATGTATGATTGAGACCTGTATGACCTATTCTCATCCGAGAAATGACATGTTCCTCCCTTCTTTTAAACCCCACCTTCCTTCCATCCCCCACATACCTTTGAATGTGATAAAGATGTCTTCCTGTATCACTAAGGTCCCAATGATCTTGCCATGTTGTTTGTGCATATTTCTGAATGAATGTTTGAACCTCTGCTTTGCTGAGTGGAACTTCTATGTCTATGTTCATACTTCTGAGTGTTTGTTTGGCCAGAATATCCACCTGTTCATTTCCCTCCACACCAACATGAGCAGGAACCCAGATGAAACGATTGCTATGCCTTTGATTTGCATTTGATATACAATTATACATATTTCATTTATGATGTCCATTCTAGATGAAGATCTGCCTGATCGTATACTTGATAATGCTGAAAAGCTGTCAGATGCAATTACACTGTTATATCTGGCTCCGCCCTCTACTGGACTCTATGGGTACTACCTTACCCTGCGAGCATTCTCCCACTGAGACTTCTTTAGACGTAGCCGGCCTTGGGCAGGGCCTACCTGAATGCGCGCGCATCACACCGTATAAAAGGAGGCCTCACCTCCTGACTATCATCCTTTTCTCTTCAGCGGCGGAAGTGGTTTCACGGAGCTTAAAAAGACGAGAGAATAGAGAGTTATGGAGTCAGTTCTTGACCACAGGACCTGTCCGAAATGTCCTAACCTGATCGCGGGAGCGGATCCACACCCCTTCTGCTTCCTATGTATGGGGCCTGACCACGCCGTGAGCTGTATGGGCCCGACACCGGTATGCTCAGCCTGCCAGATGCTTCCTCGGCTCACACGTGAGCATCGTGGGCAGCATTTCCTGTCGGCGGAGGCCCCGCAGGAGGAGGTGGAGGATTCGGAGCTCGACGTCGTCGAGATGGGCGAGTCAGGAGAGGAGGAAGTGCCGTTCCGGTTCTCCCTTCCGTGGGGCCAGTCAACCCCGATTCCGGAGGAGGAGGAAGAGGACGCCTCGGTGTCTGGAGGTCCGACTCTCAGGTCTGCGCGGAGGGATTTCCCAGCGGTGATGACCCTGGCGGCGGAGCGTGTAGGCCTACAGCTCCCCCCACCGCTGCCACCGAGGCCTATAGGCCGCCTGAGACCGGGTATTACGGCCCGGTGCATCCAGCGCAGCCGACCTTCGTTTCGCCCCAGCTGCCTGATATATGGCGGTGTGTGGAGGCGACATGGCAGCAGCCATTTAAAACTAAGGCCCCAGTAGCCGCTATGGCAGGCATCATCAAGGTGGAGGGCCGCGCGGAAACAGCGTGTTCGGGTGTGCCCCCCCCTTGATGAGAGCCTGGCCCATCTGCTTCCGGGGGCGGCTGGTTGGGCGGAGGGTAAGCAACCGCTGCCCCCGCTGCCCCGGGACCGAGACATACTGGAATATCTGGACAAGATGTTCAAGCTCGGTACGCAGATGGCGGCTGCAGCAAACAATCTCGGCGTGTTGGGCGTCTCCCTGATCACCCCTCAGGCAGTCGCCCCCGCCCTCCTCTCTCAAGAGGGGAGCGATTATTCGGGCCGCGCTATAGGTCAGATGAACAATCTGATTCATGGCGTGGCCGCTGCAGCAGGGCGGGTGATTTCCTTGGCCACAGTGGCGTCTCGTCACGTGTGGTTGGGACTCACTGCCCTTGCTGCTGCGCCCTCCACCTCTACGGCCCATCCCGTGGTGCCGACATATCGGCAGCCACGGGCAGGGCCGTATCCAGGATTTCCTAAATACCGAGGTCCAAACATGTTTGGGGGGTTCGGGGGATACCCCCCAAGATTTTTGGAATTTTCATGATCTAGTTGGGTGCTTTTTAAGTCCTGTGGGGGGTCACACATTGGATAATATATTGATTTCAAACCATGTCAGTGGGCTGACACATCAATTATTTTTGGAAGTGTGATGCATGAGAATCAGTTGATTGTTACTATTAATGATCTGGACATGCAGAAGAGGCTAAAATGATCACAAAACATTGTCATCATTCATTTTCCATGTCTCTCTCCTTTCCATAACCTGCACCCTCTCTCATCGTCTTTAGTCTCTCTGTCTTCTTCCTGTTCATTACTCTCTCTGTCCTCTTCTCTCTCTCTTTGTTCAATCTCTCCCTCGTTGCTCACTTTTTGCTCCTCCTCACTTGTCGCTCCTGCCAGTGAATTAAAAGCAATTCAGCCATTTAGTTCATTTCACTTGTTTGTTTGAACTTTTTGTTTTATTTAAATCTGTTTTGTTTGATTCTCAAAAGAGAACAAAGATGTAAGCAAATTGTGTTTTATAAAATGGTATGTTATGACATAACTGCACCTTTTTTTTTTTTTTTTACAATTATGCCTATTGTCTATATTGTAAATGAAGACTATTGTTATAAATAGATGGGCTTATTAAGCCTACATTATTTTGTGAGACTGTC